AGCAAGACTCTGTCTCAAAAAACAAAACAAAACAACAAAAAAAAGATATCTACAGTCTGAAAGGACTAGAGGTGGATGAGGACAAAAAGACTGGGCTCCCACAACCTTGCCGCAGATGAGTATTACATTACAATGAAAGTGCGTCTCAGATGAGAGTGTGCCACACATATGAACACTTCTCAGCAAGTGACACAGTGATGTAACCTGTTCTGCTGGCTCCTGAAGTCCCTTTTCTCTGTCATTTTGGGTATGCCACAAGCACCTTGAATGAAAAATACACACTGATGGCAGGAGAAGTTAACCTTCCAGCTGAATTAGATATTAAATTCTCCATAAGGAAGACAACTAGAAGCTGATTTTGATTCTAAGACATAACTTAAAGATGTTAAGTTGCTGGGTTCACCAGGTTATTTTATTCTATACCTAGAAAGGTGAAGATACCTGCAGAACATATTCAAGCAACCACATTTCCTGAACACCACTCATTTTACAAATGAAAAATCATTTCTGTTACTGTTTTTGCCAGTTAGAAACACTTTAGAAAGCACTTTCATTTTTGACGTGCTTGCAAGCCCTAAGAAGACTCTTGATTAGGATCTTTCAAATGTTAACTAGCTGCTATTACAGTGTGAGTTTCTAGTTAAAATCTTCCAAATGTTAATGAACTGCATCTAGGATATAGATTAACTACACATACACATAACTATTTATACTAAAGTACTTAAAAGAAAATTATAGTTGTACACAATATTGCCATGGAATTTTCCAGAGTTGTACCAATTTACACTCCCAGAAGAAAATGAGAGTTCTAGTTGCTCCACATCCTCACCATCATCATTGCATTCTTTAAAATTTTTAATTTAGCCAATTTGATGGGTACATACTACTTCTGCATTGTATTTTTAACTTGCGTTTCTCTGATAGTTAACAAAGCTTAGCAGCTTTTCATATATTTATGGGTCATGTAGATACGTAGATGTGCTTTCTGTGAAACTTTTCAAGCCTTTTGCCTATTTTCCTATTGAGTTATCTTTATTGATTTGTAGAAACAGCATATATTTAATATTTTCAGTGCAAGAATATAAATATTTTCTCTGATTACCTAGTTTCTACGTTCACAGTTCTCCTTCATGTTAACATGGTTGTTTACCAGTAAGAATTTTATCTCGAGCTGGACTATGCACCAGTCACATTATATGATCTTAATGGAAAGCTAGGGGAAATGAGAAAACACTTTATGTTTTAAAATGAATGTATGTTAAATTCATTTTGTTTTATCAAATGTTTGATAATTAGAAATTTTTATTAATACTAATCTAAAATATTAAACAATAGAAATCCCACAGAGGGGAAAATAAAAGGAAGATGCATGGAGGGACAAAAGTATCTGCAACTTACTAATCTTAGATAATATGACTTATTCATACAACCATGTTTTTTAGAACCATAATTAGAATGCTTCTTTCTGACACACTGGTGTTGTTAAATTGCTATCGGATCCTTCTTTTAAGATATTTGGCCATCAAGATTCACTGTGAATCCCCAGTTTTTCCTTCAAGTATATCTTCCAAATGAATCATTCTTCTAAGTGCTTTCTACTTGGAACTGCCTTTTAAGTTCCAAAGGTTTCAACATCACTAGAGTCCTTATTTTTCTTCTATGTATCAGAGAAAGGGTAACAAGCATTAAAGTGACATCATGATGCTGATGAAAATATAACTAGTTTTTGCAATCAGAAAAAGGGAAATTTCTAGAACAAGCTTCCTCCAACAGAGTTTTCAAGCAGCAACTGCTGTCTAGGCATTCCCTGAAATGTTTCTAGAAGGAGGCGAGTTGATGTTACTAGCAATGACTTGAGTTCACCAAAGTTTTATAGCTTCCTGAGGAATAAAAATTTTTATGAAGATAATTCTTCAGTGTTTCAATATAGTAAGAGACTTTTGCTTGTTAAAAGATCATTAGCCTACCTTAGGAAATATTTTATCATCAAATTTGAGCAACAGTAAGGTTTCATCCTGTTTAATGAAAAATGAGATCCAAGAGTGACCTTTATCTTAAATTTCATCCTGTAACCAAGAGTATTATTCAAGGTTTGTTCTTAAATTATTGACTTTTAAAAATTTTCAAATGTTGGGTTGTGAATAGATACAGAGGTCTGTTTATGCATCAGGTATCTGAAACAGTGGATATTGTCTAATTTTCCTGAAAAGTTAGGAAGATTCCCCAAGGAGATAGGCCTTGAGAAGAGTTTGAAAAACTAGATGACTTGACAAAGGCAAAATTAGAGTCTAGGTGAGAAATGGGATGTAGTAAAGGGCATACAAAGGTAAGTTCAGCAAGTCAACTTGCTAAGGGCAAGCTCAAAATGACAGCTTTGAAATCGTATTCAAACTACCCTGAAGGAACTGTAAATCAGATCTGTGGATGATAGGTTTTATAAGGCATATCATTGAAACTTGCTAAAATAACTGCATTTTAGGTATGCTATGAGAACTGAGCTGTGCTTTAATGAGCCCTCTACTTAAGCTATCACTTTTCCTTTTGTGTGCCATAGTCACATTTTCTTCATCTCAATAGACACTGTACGTTATTTTAATTATATCTTATTTCTTTTTTCTCAACTGTGATATTATTTCTAACTATAGCATCATATTTTATGAATATCAGTTTTTTTAAGTTTACATTTCTTTAATTACTCTACTGTAGACCATTTTTTTGGCCATAAAATTTGCACAAACATCTTTTTTTTCTTATTTTACCTTTCTCCACAAACTATTGTTAGGGTAGCTCAAGGAATTTTATCATCCCTATCTATAATATCTTCTAATATTATAATACCCATTGGAAAGTCCTCCTTTATATCCATCCAAAATCTTTCATGTTGCCTTGCCTTCTTTTATATATTAAGTAGACACTAAGAACAGGTTATTGTCTTTGAAATAGCCATTGTGTCATTGGTCCTCCATGTCTTCTGCTATGAGTCCATCCACATCTTTTATTTCAGAGACTATCTTTTGTTGTTCTTTAGTAACTGTGGTCTTTTTTCTGACTTCTGACTTGTTTGCCAGTACATCCCATTCCTCTTGGTCATAATATTGTGCCCAAGAAAAGAAAGATGTTATTACAATATCATGACCAGCAGCTTTACATAATTTCATGTGACCTGTAATAAGGAAAATGATGTCCAGAAAAGCTAAAATGGTTGCCCAGTTTCATGTGGAAATAACTGCTAGAGAGAGACATGAAATTTCACCTGGCAAAAGCCCAAGCCTGTACTTTTAACCATTACACAAACCAATGATATTTATTCAGTATGTTCTATGTATTTAGCATCAGGGTACTGAAAAGAAAAAAAAATAAGAAAACATGATCCCTGCTCTATGAATTCACAGCCTGCTTGATGAGCTGGAAATATTACATTGGAAGAATATTTAAAATATTCTTAATCATATTCTTGATATCTTACTCATGTTCTATAAATGAGAATAAGTATAAAACTTTGTGGGTCATACGTAAAACTTAAGGTTTAACTAGATTTACCAGTACTCACGGAACTGGAATAACTAGTATTCATGTAGTGCAGTAGGCATGCTGAACAGAAAAGCTGGCAGGCATAGTTGAAAAAAGCTTCTTGCAGGTGGCATGACTTCAATGGGGTTTCTGTTCTTCCCTATCATTGGATTTTTCTTTAAGGGCAATTTACTGAAGATTCACTTATTGAACCTCTTCAGCTTCTTCTGAATAACTGATTCATCCACCTAAGTCATTTGGAACACTGAATCTTTTGCCCAACGTGTGGCTACCTCCCTTCTCCCCAAATCAGAGCTACCCTTGACTGTTCTGTGATTGCTATTTATCCATTACATAACTAGCCACTGAAAATACTAAACACTAAGCTGTTATCATTTTGTTATATAATTGTTCAATAGTTGTGTATTCGAAATTATTTCTTCTAACATACTTTTATTAAAAGTGATCACATGATTCAAAGTCTAACTCTTTTGAAATAAGATAATTAATTACATATACTTTTGTGTAGCACTTAACAATTTCTAAAGCATTTCTAGATCCATGAACTCCTACAAGCCCTTAGAGGGTTCACTCTATAGAAATATAGAAATCTGTATTTCTAACAAAATTCTTCCCCTAAATATCACCAACAATATCAAATTTCACATGACTAGGGAGAAAGGTAACATGGGATAAGACAGCAAAGATGATGTGATTTTCTAGTGGTAAAGAATGGAAATTCAAACTATCATTGAACTAAGAGGAAGTTTCTCAGGCTGAGTAATTTTCTTTATTAAAAATGTAATCGAGCAGCCACACAGATCCTGGATTAGTACCTTAACATTTCAGATATAAATATATCAGCATCCTACAAAATCCATGACTCAAAAGCAGTATCATTGTTGTATTTTTTTTTTTTTTTGGTTGAGGCTAATTTCTTTTAAAATTCATTCAATTTTTTTCCTTTTGCTTGTTCCTATTGAGAAAAATACTTGTTTTCATTGTATGCGCAAGGACGCATTTAACATTTCTTCATTTTTTGTGAAAATATTTATTTATATATATAATAGATATCTGTGAAGGCATTGATTCAAATTTATTGCATTTTATGCCTTGCTTCATCAATTTTTACTGACATATTTGCTTTGTCTAGATTACAAGGTAAGGATTCATTTAAATTTATTTCATACTGTGATCTGCATTTTAGTTACTAGTATTAACTGATTTTTTGCATTTTTTTTTTTTTTTTTTTTTTTTTTGAGAGGGAGTCTCGCGCCGTCGCCCAGGCTGGAGTGCAGTGGCCAGATCGCAGCTCACTGCAAGCTCCGCCTCCCGGGTTTGCGCCATTCTCCTGCCTCAGGATATTTAATGTAAAATTAGTTTTAGAGAATTCCTTTATTTTTTCTTCAATTAAAGTTTTCTTTATGAGGTTTATACCAGCAATTAATAATTTATTTTGTTTTTAATTAGGATGTTTTTAGCCACATGTGACAAAAGTGGAGACTCACTATTTCACACAACAGGTCTTTGTAGCTATATATGGTGGTCCAGGGAAGGTCATTCAGAGGTTCAAACGCCAAGTCCAAGGACCCAAGTTTCTTCCATCCTTCTTCTCTGCCATCAACTGCTTGTCATTCTTGTCTCTTAATGTCACAAGATGAATGCCATAGCTCCCAACATCATGTGCAGTCACTATAACATGCAATAAATGAAGAGGGAAAATTTTTCCATGCGTCTATTTCTTGTCAAGGATCATCCCCAAATACCTCCTAGCAGACTTCTTATGTTTCAGCTAGAAGCAGATCACCTGTCTCCAATATACAATTTAATGAAAAGAGAATCAAATAATCATTATTGACTTTGAAAAGCCACCATCTTCTGCCTGGGGGCTGGGGATAGGATCACCTTTGTTCCTGGGCCCACTTCTCCAACAAGGAAGGTGAATACCTGAAAAAAACTCTGTATCTGCCAGTAATGGAATGGGGAATATTTGGGAAGTTGAAAAAAATCACTTGTATTCTCTAGTATTATCCACTTTTCCCTTTAAAACACAATTCTGGTCCTATTTTATACTTTTCCTATTGCTGGATAACCTCCTCCAACATTTCACAAAATGTATTTATGTACTATATTAAAGAGTATTTTTTTTTAAAGTGTACTATTCAGGCTATTTATATACTATTAAATAATTTGAAGAATTTGTTTTTTAATTAAGTAGGAGACATTATTATTTATAATAGTCTACAAAATTCAAGTGTCCAAAGTTGGTATTTTATTTCCAACCATCTGTTCATTCTGTTTTCATGCCCTAAGCATTTCTTCTCTTGACTTTACCTTTATATAGGTGGTCAGGTGTAAATTAACTCCTAAATTCAGTGATTTCTTGGTTTAACCTAGAATCATTACTTAGGCTTAGCTGAGTTCCTCTCCTGCTCATGTTGGTGCTAAGGAATTCCCTGGAAATTAACACAGCCACAGCCTGTTGTGGGGGTCGGCTGTGAGGCGAGGGGTAGTATGCACTCCTTGGACTTCTTCCACTTCAGGCTCCCACTCTGGTCAGCACTCATTGTCTTTGTGGTCTGCACTCACAGTGCAGATGATACCTAGTGGTGGCTTCGCTGGGTGGCGTGTTTGGCTCCAGTGTAACCATACAGCGCAGGAGACAGAAAAAAATCCCACAGTGATGCAGCTTCTCTTCTTCCCCCATCCCTCGTAAGTGATTCAGCTGCTTCTGCCTGCCCTTGCAGCACACCCTGTCTGGAACTGGAAAGTTCCCTCCTTATTCTGGATGCACAGCAAGCTTATGAATGAATCCTCCCCATACTTCTCTTGGGTCCTCAGTCACTACAGAAAGGATGAATCCTATTATCTTAGAGCTGACTTAACAAATTAGCACACACTTGGTGGCTTAAAACAACAGAAATATACTCCCTCACAGTTTGGGAGGCTGGAAATCCCAGATCAGTCTACCCACAGGGCCTCTCCAGAGCTCTAGGGGAGAATTCTCCCTTGCTTCTCCCAGCTCCTAGTGTCTCCCAGTGTTCCTTGACTTGTGGCTGCATAACTTTACCTCATTCTTGACATGGCCTCTCTTCTCCCTGTATCCATGTCTTGTCTCTCTTATAAGGACACTTGTTCTTGTGATTTTAGGGCTCATCCAGATAATATAGGATGATCTTATCTTGGAATCCTTAACTTAGTTACATCTGTAAAGACCCCTTTTCCAAATAAGTTCCCTTTCACAGGTTGCAGAGCTTCAGACGTGAACCTTTGTTTTGAGGGCCACCATTCACCAAGTGACAGTCAGGGAGAGCCTGAGGTCGATGTTACAACTATTCATGCCATGCGGCCATCTCTCTGGCTTCCTCCAACTCAGTTGGGTGAGACCAATTTGTAGGTTTGTCACTCTAAAGGTGTAGACAGGAAATAATTCTAACCCCTCTTCTTTTAAATGTCCTCTAAACTTCATGAGGAACTTACTTGTGTTTTGTTCCCTCTGTACCAACCTCTCTCACCCCTACTCCCTTAAAATACTGCTCTAAGAGGTCAAGGGGAACAAAATTCATCAGTTTTCTCACTGTTTGTACTTACACTGTTTTGTGCTTGGAATGGTCACTACTCCCTTCCTTACCATCCCCCTCTATACCCCCCTTCCCCCCACAACAACCCAATCAAATTTTCTTTTCTATGAAAAAAACTATCTCTAATCTTTTGGTTTTACATTAAGAATAGAGCTTCTCTAGATGTAGCAATTTAGGGTTAGATCTCTGCTGTTGGGGTAAACCCTCTCCAATGCATTGGAAACCAGTAGGTTTAGCCTCCAGATGGGAGAAGAATCCACAGTAATGGGAAGGACTCCACTCCACTGACACTTCACAACTCATCCTGTCCCACTTACAAATTGAGAAGGCTCACTCATTTCCACTTAAAAAATGCTCTGCTTAGTATTCCATGGTATATATGTGCCACATAAAAAAATAAAATGCTCTGCTTTTGGTTGTTTTAAGTGCCTAGCAGTTGCTTGAAAACCTTAAATCATTTCAGTTCTTTTTCTTTTTCATTTGAGAAGCATCATCACCCACAAAAAAACATTTTAATACAGTTCTTTCAAATGGAAAATAAAGTGTTTTGGGGCTGATGACAACTCAGGAACCATTTCTAATCTTTTGAAATAAATGAACCCTTATCTGTCCTTTTTGAGCATTTTAATGGGTTTGTGCAAACTGCTACAAGATTGATTTGGCTGCAGTTTAGCAGAGTTGGTTAGAATGAATCTATCAGACATACAGTTGGTGCCTTAGCAAGGAAAGTGCAATTGGGATTTTGTTCCCACGGCCCCCAAATTTAGAATTTATAAACATTGTAAAAATGTATTTTAAAAGATCTCTCCTTTCTGCAGCTCAGCTCTCAGCAATAGAAATGGGTGGAGGAAGAACATCTAGGAGGCCGAAGATTTCCACCATCCGAAAAAAGAGATGGTTTGGGGGTGTGAAAGGAGTCATCCCAGGAAGCTGGGAGAAGCGGAAATTTGGAGGTGGAGGGACAGACAAGGAGGACTGAAAGGGCTGAGCACATGATAGAGAGTAGGGAGAGTGTGAAGACAACAGAGGGTTCTGGCATAATGTTGTGTCAGCCGAGGGAATGTGCCTACAGAGATCCCCCAAAGCCTGGCAGCACACCCATCCACTTGCCAAATTATCACAAACTTAGCACTTAGACAACACGAATTTATTATCTTACAGTTCTGCAGTTCAGAAGTCCAACGTGAGTTTTGCTTGGCCAAAACCAAGGCGTTAGCAGAACCACATTGCTTCTGGAGACTCTAGGGCTGAATCCATTTCCTTGCCTTTCCCAGCTTCTAGAAGCCGCCCATATTCCTTGGTTCACTGTCTCTTCCTCCATCTTCAAAGCCTGCAACGTTCCTTCTCTATGACCCTACTGTGTGCCAAGTCTCCCTCTGACCACAGCCAGGGAAGATTTTCTGCTTTAAGGACGCCTGTGATTAGATTGGGCCCACCTGGACAATCCAGGCTAACCTCTCCATCTCAGCGTCCTTAATTGTAGGACATTTGCAAAGCCCCCTTTGCCATATAAGCTAACATTTTCAGAGATTACGAGGATTAGGAAAAAGACACTTCAGGGAGCCATTATTCTGCCCACCACAGATGGCATGAGTTAACCAGCCTGGGGCAGCTACAAGGGAAACTTCACGGACAACCTTGCTCCCCACCATCTATCATGTGAGATATTTCTTGTGAACCTAAAGTGGATGTTTCCTACTTTACATTCCTGTGATATTTTCTGGGAACATAAAGTGGGTATTTCCCACTGCGTCTGGGTGTTTCTACTTGCCTGTCAAAAAAACAGTCATGGAACTTCTGTCCCCATCTCCTAGAGACACCTGTGGCGCATTCAGGGAGGTGAAGCGAATCCACTTGCTAAGAGGAAGTTTTCCTTCCCTGCCTGGCTTCCCATGCTGAGGCTGAGCTGGAGGATTTGAGGCTACCTTTCCTGGTGCCTGTTGCAGGCATAAAAACTGCTGATTATGGTCTGTGTGCAATAATCTTGTTTGCTTACTAACTGTGTCAATTTCTTAGAGCTGCCATAATAAAGTACCACAAACTGGGTGGCTTAAACAGCAGAACAGTACTCTCTCACAGTTCTGGAGGCTGGAAGTCTGAGATCATGGTGTCAGCTGGGCAGTGCTCTCTCTCTGAAGCCTCTAGGGGGTGGGTCCTTCCTTGTCTCTTGCAGCTTCTACTGCCCCAGGTGTTCCTAGTTTGTGACAGCATAACTCCAATCTTTGCCTCCATCTTCACATTGTGTTCTCCCTGTATTTTTGTGTCTTCACGTGGCTGTATTCTTATAAGGACACTGGTTATGTGGGATCAGAAGCCCATCTTACTCTGGCATGACCTCATCTTAACTAATTACATTTACAAAGACTGTATTTCCAAATAAGGTCATATTCCGAGGTACTGGAGGTTAGGATATCAACATTTCTTTTTGGGGGGAAACAATTCAACCCATAACACTGACCAAGTTTATGTGGTCATGTGCAATATTACATGCATATTGCATCTTATACTCCTGTAGTTATTTTTATATATTCTGGCTTTTACTTTTACTCCATTTCCATGGCTAGTCCAGATTGGTGCCTGATATTGTTTGGCTGTGTCCCCACCCAAATCTCAACTTGAATTGTACCTCCCAGAATTCCCATGTGTTATGGGAGGGACCCAGGGGAAGGTAATTGAATCACGGGGGCTGGTCTTTCCCGTGCTATTCTCGTGATAGTGAATAAATCTCACAAGATCTGATGGGTTTATCAGAGGTTTTCACTTTTGCTTCTTCCTCATTTTCTCTTGCTGCCGCCACGTAAGAAGTGCCCACCATGATTCTGAGGCCCCTCCCCCAGCCATGCGGAACAGTAAGTCCAGTTAAACTTCTTTTTCTTCCTAGTCTTGGGTATGTGCTTACAGAGAACTAATATAGAAAATTGGAACTAGTAGAGTGGGCATTGCTGAAAAGATACATGAAAATGTGGAAGCAGCTTTGGAACTGAGTAACAGGCAGAGATTGGATCAGTTTGAAGGGTTCAGAAGAAGAGAGGAAAATGTGGGAAAATTTGGAGACTTGTTGTCTCCAAACAAGACTTGTTGTCTCCCTAGAGACTTGTTGAATGGCATTGC